ACATATGTATAACAATAATATATGAGTATGACAATAATAAATGAGTATAACAATATATGAGTATAACAATGATATATGAGCTTATGAATATAATGAGTATTAAAATAATATAATACGTACGACAAATATAACAAATTTATGGGAATATGACGATAATATAAGTATTACAATAACATAAGTATATGAATAAAAAATAAGTATGACAATAACATATGAGTATAACAGTATTATGAGTATAACATATGAGTACAAATAATATAAAAGTATAACAATAGTATGTACGTATAATTGAATTCATTTTTAACATAATAATTTAACAATTTGATTGAATTTAAATTTTTCCAATATATTTACATCATCATCATTATCACTTATATTATATTTTATCATTTATATTTTTATTTTATTAAAAAAATTGTTTTTAAATATTTAAGAAAGTAAAAATATTTTAGAAAATTTCTAGAAATGGTATTTATTTTCTTTTTTAATGAATTTGTCTTTTTTCTTTTTTTTTTTTTTAATTTAGTTAGAGAGGCTTTTTATTGTCGTTTTCAATTTATTGAGTATATATTCCCGTTTCAAATGTGGTATATGTAACGTATATAATTTTGACAAACATGTACATAAATGTAATACTTCAGTTAATCTATATTAATATTACAATTTAGTGGCTCTTGCTTAAATTAATGAATGTAATTACACTACGCTCAGCTGTGTTTTAGGTCAAGTATTCTCATGGTTCGTCTTACGGTTTCTGCTTCACATTCAGGAAATGATTATCAACCAGTTTCAAAAATAGATTTTAATGTTTTGAATATGTTCGATGCTATCAAATATGAACAGAGTCTTGTAGCAGGGAGTGCTTAAAACAAAAGTCCTTCTATTCAATTTCTGTATTTATTTATTGTCTGTGACATATTTTGTACTCCGGGATACACCTAAATGGCATTGACTGTATCCAAACAATGTCAGCTACTAATAATGCGGAACGAAAGCATCGGAGTTGATGTAAAGTCCAAAAATAGATACCCCATATCTATTCGAGTTATGTATTTGTCTCTCGGTTTACCCATTCCAGTTCATGTTGCGGTTCGCATTCATATTCATGTTCGGGTTTGAATTGGGATTGGGATTAAGGTTCGCGTTTCGGTTCACATTCGCGTTCGCGTTCCAGTTGTTGAGCAACTCGGCGACATTCTCCATGTTGAGCTCGAACAGGTCGTCGTCGTTGAAGACCATCTGGTGGTAGTCGTACTCCTCGTCGCTGAGGAAGCCCTCGTTGACCATGTAGCGATCGTGGTCCGGGTCGACCTCATCCTCGGAGCCGAAGCTGTCGTAGTCGTCCGAGTAGAAGTCGAACTCCAGCAGGTTCGACATGCGCACCAGGCACAGGTCGGACGAGGAGGGCGGGGTCAGGCAGGCGTCGACGATGTCCTTGGCGGCAACGTCCGCGTGCTGCAGACTGAACTCGCTTATCTTGCTGCCGTAGACGTGCATGCGGATGGGCAGCCGCCGCTGGTTGGTCTTGTCGCGCAGCTGGAGGCGCAGCTTGAAGATGATGTCGTGCAGCAGCTTCTCGGTGAGCCGCGGGCACTCCTCCAGGTGCAGCTCGCGCAGCTTGGGGCAGGCGAGCACCAGCCGCAGCACCGCCGCGTTGCTCAGGTTCGGCCAGTACTTGAGGTTGATCTGCTCCAGCTGCAGCAGCCGGAACGACTCCAGCTCGCGATCGCCCACGGCATTGTTGTGCGGCAGGCAGAGCGTGCGCAGCGCCTGCAGCTGCCCGATCTGCGCTAGCATCTCCGCATTGATCGAGTTCTGGCCGCGTGCCTCGAAGTGCAGCAGCTGCTGCGCCTTGTGCTCCACCAGCCAGGTGAGCAGCTCCGGCCGCAGCACGGTACCCTGCTCGTAGCTGTACAGGATCAGCTTCTTCAACGCCGGCAGCTTGGCTATGTGCTCGTACTCGTTGGCCGGGCCGCTGCTCAGCGTGATCTCCTCCAGCGCCGGGCAGCACTTGCCGCTGACCATCAGCTGGAAGCCCGTGGTGATGGTGTACACTGCCTTCAGGTTGAGCTCCCGCAGCCGGGTCAGCGCCTTGCAGATCCTGGGCAGGTACTTGGACTGCAGCCCGTTGCAGCTGGTCAGGCTCAGCTGCTCGATGCTCGCGGGCAGACAGTTCATGTTGACCCCGGTCAGCTGGTGGTTGTCCGACAGATCGAGCCACTTCAGCTGCGACAGGTGCTTGAGGGCCAACAGGCTGGAGTTGTTCAGGGCGCAGGCGCGCAGCTGCAGCTCCTCCAGCTGCTCCAGCCTGGCGAAGATCTTGTGCATGTTGCGCACGGTCAGCTTGCTCGCCGTGACCCGCATCGAGCGCAGATTGACGCAGTGCAGCCCGAAGAACTCGCACAGTCGCTGGCAGCGACCCGGCGGAATGATGCCCTCGATGCGCTGGACGTGCCGGCCCGAGAGCACGAAGAAGTCGCGCATGTCCCACACGGTCATCGCGTCGAACACGTCGAAGCTGATGCTCCGGTGCAGCGCCGGCGACACCTGCTGATAGACGGACCGGAAGCGTGTGCAGCTCCTGGCGAAGTGGATGCGGTCGGGCAGCGTGAGCTGACGGATGATGTGCTCCAGACAGTGGTCATTCAGCTTCAATATATCCGATGCCCCGCCAACTGCTCCTGCTGCTGCCGGCTCCTCCGGCTGGCCGCCATAGGCATCCGGCTGGTGCCAGCTGTCGTTGGCCTGCACCGACAGCCGCCGCCCGTTGATCATGTGCAGGGACTTGCGCAGGGCCGTGGCCGCGTCGCGCGGATTGCTGAAGTAGACGTAGCCCGTTTTGGTCTTGCGGCAGAGCTCGTGCGGCTGCGGCTGCTGCTTGCGGTGCGCCTGGCTGGTGAACAGCTGCAGCCGCAGCACGCGGCCAAAGCTCCCGAAGTATGCCAGCACCTCCTGCTGCTGCAGCTGCAAGGAGAACGAACGGCTCAGGTCACAAACAACGTTAAGCATAATAAGCAAAGGCCACACCCACTTGCCTCGGCTGCCACATTGTAGAGGAACAGCTTCTTCACCACAATGTGATCCTCGGTGTAGGCGATGCTCTTCCTGAAATAGTAGTTCTGCTGCGAGGGATTGTTTATGAAATTTGCCATTTTTCGGGTCACCAGCCCCGATCCACAGATACACGCCTTTGCCCAGTTTCTATATATTCCGGGCGTACAGCTCGATGCTAGCTAATGCTCGGCATGCTCTACACGAGTCTATTTCCCTTCACATTTCGTTGATTTATTTATAATGAAAATATTTTGCTTACAATTTTTATTTTGTTTATTACATTTATTTTTAATTTTTTTATTATTATTTTATATAATTTTTAGATTATTTTGTTTTGTTTTGAGAATATTAAATATTTATGCATTTTATTTTATTTAAAAAATTTTAAATTACATAAAATCATATAAATTGTTATTATTATTATTATTTATTTTGTATATAAATTTATATTTTAAAAAAATTAGAATTTATTGTTATTTTTTTATTGTTTTATTTTTTGTTTTAAAAATATTAAATATTTATGCATTTTATTTTATTTAAAAAATTTTAAATAAAAAAAAATCATATAAATTGCAATTATTATAATTATTGTTATTTTTATTTTTAATTTTAATTTATATCTTATAATTTTAATGATTTTTGTATTAAATTTTTGTTTTTCTTTTCTTAAAAAATTCTTTTATATTTTTTTCTTTCACTTTTTTCCACTATAAGTCCTCAATATGATTCTTTTTCCTTTATTGTATATACAATGTGAGCTGTTCGATGTCTTCCATTCTCTAGCGATTCGCACACAATTTTGCCGCAAGTCTCGGCGAACGTAATTCCAGTGCTTCCTATGAGCCGGAAAGCGTATTAAAAATCTGTCACAAGTGCAGGCAACCAGGAGATCTAGGTGCCCAGATATGCGTGTATGCTTGAGCGTGTGAAAGAGTGAGAGGGGGAGAGAGAGTGAGAGAGAGAGAGGGCGACAACAGACGAAAAAAAATTGCATGTGCTGCAGAAATTAGTAGGGACGCGTCTCTTGTTACGCTGCAATGCCTGTGCCGATGGTTTTGCTGCGTTAAGCAATAAGGCATACACACACACAGTGACACACACACACACACACACACACACGTACAAATACGCACTTGAAGAGCTGCACTTACATAAACCCAGCCCCAGCAGCACGAGAATGTGGCCAGAGCAAACTCATCCAGTTACCCACGGCACACACTAAAGGGCACGAAATGAGCTTGAAAACGGAGAAAATGGAAAAGTGCAGCTAGATGATTATTCAGTAGGTCGTAAGCATAAATCGGAGTGCGTGGAAAATGCGTAAGCTGGAAAAGAGTGATTGTGCATACATATATAAATATAGTAAAAATAGAAAAATTTGCAGTAGAGTGTAAAATCAATGTTTAGTATATAAGAAATTAAATAGTATATCGGAATCTTTTTTCTTTTTATGTTAAACTGAGCAATAATTTACTTTTTCAGTGTTGGGCAAGGCAAAAAGAGCATAAGCAAAAAATAAATTTTTGGATACCTAATTTGTCCAAGTTCTCTTAATTATAAAATTAAATAAATTATTGCTTCATCTGTAAAAATATCTTTACTTTGAAATATCAGGATATTATCATAAAAATTCCATTTACAGAAACAACAAAAATCGGTATTAATAAAGGAATATTATCAATGATCATTAGACTGAGTATATTTAAATAATGTTTAATGAAGTCAAAAATCTACTAAAAATATATTTGCTTCTTGAGCTTTGCAGAAGTAAAAGAAATCAGCAGACTTTATAAAATCTAAAATCTAATGAGGAAACTAAAATGAAATATATTTCTCAATTTAAATACCAACTCGCTTATCAACATATTTTTCCACATGATTGCTTCATTCAGTTATCTGCACTTTTAGCATGCACTCCAGTCCGACTGGGTGCATACGTATATCACTCAGTGTTATAGTTATCAGCATAGTTGCTGCCTTGTTGCATTGTTGTTGCTGCTGCTTCCGTTCTACGTTTGCCTCCGTTTCCCAGACACTTGAAACTGCTAACAACGCACGCTGGCGTTAACATTCTGAATTGTTGCTGTTGTTGTTGTTGTTGCTGTTGCTGCTGCTGCTGCAGTTGCTGCTGCTGTTGTTAGTTGGCATCCATAAATTCTTGCATTAATGGCAATGCGCTGCCTGTTGGAGAGATGAAGGGGCGTGGCTGCATTTGATGCTTCCTCTTTCATGTAAATGTCACCAAGGCAAAACTTTGCAATGATTGCAACAGAACAACAACAACAACAACAACAATAACTGAATCAACCCTGCCCTCCAGCATCTAGCACAAAATCCCAGCTATCAGCTCTGGCAGCGCGTTCTGATTGCGGTTGCAGCTGGCAATAGAAAATAAATAAATAAAAATCAGAATGAAAGAATTTTGTCAACATATTTTTTACAAGATTTATTTTTATATACATATACATATATATATTCACGATTTTCACGCATTTGCCTGGCGACAAGTTTGGCTCGATCTCATTCTATTTCTATATATAGTAGTTGATATAAAATCCAATTTGAGCGTTGGCCAGGATGGCAAGGATGAGTTTATCTTAAGTAGTTTTTCAGGCGAATTCCCTCGAGCTGCGGGACCTGGGCGTGGGCGTAAGGGCGTAGGACCAAAGGATGTTCGCACAATTCCAGCATTAAAATTCAATACACAGTCAAACATAAATTCGATAAGTTTGAATTCGGGCAGCCGAGCGAAAGAATGTGATAGGGAAGGGAGGGGGAGAAGGGGGGAGAAAGAGAGAGCTCAACATGTTTTATTTGGCCAAGCGACGTGCGTACAAAAAAAAAAAAAAAAAAAAAAAAAAAAAAAAAATACATAGTATGAATGCATTTGTGTGTTGTGTGTGCGTGTGTGTGTGTGTGTGTGGAAAGCATAAATTCAATAGTCGCCAACATGCGACTGCCCCTGCGACTGCCCCCTTGGCTCTAGCAAATAAAATAAAACTTTATTGACACAAACATAAAACTCCCAAATGGACATTGTCTGTCTCCTTCGCTCTCTCTCTCGCTCCCTCTCTTTCGCTCCCAGCGACTCTTTTGTGTGTAAGCAGACAAATTTATGCATGTGCAAATATTGTCGGCATTTGATAAAACATATTGACAAACATTCGCATTGAACTTTAAACAAATCTCCGCTACACATAAAAGAAGAGGAAAGAAAACTTTTTTGTGTGGGCCAAAAGAAACTAGTGTTGACAATGGTCAAAAGTTGTTTAAGAACTGTGAGCTCACAAGTGCCAATCACTTGAGCAGAGTCGCTGCGTGCAGAGCGCAAATAACAGTCAGACAGTGGCAGTCGTCAGTATGCAGACCAGAGACGAAGTCCAGTTGTGCGCCAAACGAACTAGAAGAAATTATAATCACATCACACACTAAACCATCCACTTGATAGTCGGGAATGTAATATATGCATACTGTAGCTCGATTATAGAGCATACTGGAATGAAGAACAGAGAGAAGTAGCAGTTATGCTTAGGATTATCAGCGAGAAGCAACGATGGAGTTTGGCTTAGAACTCTGCAAAGAACGGCACACTAATAAAAAAAACCTCATTGAGAATCGGAATGTCTTAAGCATAATCACTATGCTTGGGCAACATTTAAATAGTTATATATGTATACTAAAAAATATTTGAACTTCGTTATGAATATATTTGATAAGGAAAATAATTACCAGTTCAGTATAAATTTTCATAATATTTGCAATTAAATTTGGCATAATTTAAATATTTGCAATTGATTTAGCATAGTTTTTAATTTATTTTTTTTATTTATTTTTTTTTTTTTAATTTTATAATTATATTTTATTTTACTTTTATAATAATTATATAAAAATATATACACCATATATTTACATATCCATATAAATAAGCATTAATAAAATTATTTTATATACTCCAACATATCCATATTCATTATAAATACAATATATATACAATTTTGTTACCATTTATATTATTTGATATAAACAAGCGCTACTTGAGTCTGTTTACCCAAATCAAATCAGGCCGCTTTTCTCACTCTTGGAATAAACTTTGCTTTAAGTGCAAATAAAAGTCATTTTTATTCGGTTTCATTCCGAGTCTTAAGCTCTTCATATCAGCACCAATAAAAGAACATGCAGAACTTTTTATGCGCCAACTTTTAATACTTGAGCCCTTTTTGCCTGTATACCCATTGAGTACAAGAAGTGGCACAAGGTTGCTTGAATAATATAATATCAAGTAAAGATGAATTACTGAAATATATTAAAATCTATGATTCTGAATCCTTCAATGGAATCGACTCTATTATTATATTATTTTTAATCCACATCTGAATAACAGAAATCACAAATACACAGGATATTTACTAGTCGAGCATTGTCTACTTGAGCAGCTTTACAGGTTTTTATTTTATTTTTGTTTTTTCTGCAACTGCTGTTGCTGTTGTTTGGCTCATTTAACGAAACGAAACAATTAAAACGGCTTTTGCACTAAACTGGCAAAAAACAGTTAAGCGACAGTTATGCGAGAGTATGTGTGTGTGTGAGTGTATGTGTGCTTGTATGTGTAGCAGCTTAAAATGCGAAAGTATTTTGCATTTGCCGCCTAATAGAACTTTAATTGTTTTTTCTTGCCAAGGGCTGCATTAAAATGCCTTTCAGCTGCGAGACTTGAACTATGAGAGAGTGAGAGAGGGAGAGCAGGAGAGTGAGCGAGAGTGAGAGAGTGAGTGGCAACTATTGACGCTTGGCATATGCAAGTTGATATGCCAAAAAAACAAGAGCTCGCATTGAGATTGAGATTGAGATTGAGTCCTGCAGCAACTTTGCCAGACTTATGGCCAAAAAGTTGCACAACTTGATATTGGCTCGATAAGGCGCACAGGCACGAACCGGGCCAAAGAACGTGGCAGAGGCGGAGGCGGAGGCAGCGGCAGCGGCAGCGGCAGCGGCGGAGGCAGAACGTGCGAAATTCTTTAGGCAAATTTCCACAGTTTTTGACATGTGCGACATTAGATTGAACGGCAGCTACATAAAGGATATGT